GGTAGGGGTGAAAAGGTGGTATCTATAGTTTGTCGGCTGGGGCCACTTTTCCTACCTCCAGGAGACGCATCAAGCCCAGAAGTGAGGCGAATAAGCGTCTCAAATACGTGGAGTGACAAGCCGAATTGTGGTAGATTGAACTAAACCTCATTCCTTACTCTTGCAACGGGGGCTTAGTTTCTCATATTCTCAGGGACAGTTTTTGCATGTAAATAGCCAAGTGTCTGTGAGCATAAGTCCAGCTCACTGTCCCTTCGTGTCGGAGACAGAATAGGCACGTGCCTGTGTTTGCGTGCGCATCAGAAAAGACAGGGCAACTCTGCTAGCCGGCCAGCGGCACTGCTGGTCCCCGTCCCCTAAAGCCGATACCCCTGGTCTCTTGTATCCATGCGGTCACGCATGTGCACTATAAAAAGCAACCGAGAGAGAGAGGCAGAAAGACAGAGACAGAGACATACAGAGATGCCCACAAGTAAAGACTGACAGAGCACGTTTCGGGGACAATCGTTTGGGTTGCATGTTTCCGTGGCTCCGGCGGAGTTGCCGAGGTAGGCGGAAGCAGAGTCGAGAAAGTCGGTCGTCTGTCCACAATATTCTGCTGCATGTACGGAGCTGCCCATCCGCTTTAATGTCATCTTCGTGAAGGCCGTCCAGGCTCTACCAACTCCCACTATCTCCTGTCATCTGGCCTGAATGCGCGACGGGACGAAGCTGCGTCTGGCGAGCTTAGGCGTTGTATGCAGCCGCCGTCTGGCATGGTTCAACCGCTCGTTCTCACAGCATCAGTCTACAGATCTACTGCAGCGAGTAGTGGGTGCTTGTTTCAATTCTGAATGAGCATCTTTCAAAGGTATCACTGAGTCTCTAAGGAAAAAATTGTTTTTTTAATTCTTTAAAGATAAGAAGTGCAGTTTTTCCCACGATGCCAGTGAAGTTCACTTAGCCTTAGCTCTCAGTCCTTAATTAAGGCTTACTGATAGTCTCGAAACATACTCACTCAGAAGAGTAACTAGGTTTCGAAAATTCTCCTGTGATAAAATTGTTTTATTTCATATGATGAAGAGATTCGTGAGTAGATTTTACCACCAGACGACGGTTGATTCGCGTTGTTCTGCAGCCGTTTGGCTTTAAGGTTGACGCAGTGCCACTTTACAAACATCGTCAGCGCTATAACTGATTCTTGCAAAATGTTTAAGTTAAAAGTCTATCCGGCTCTCTCCAACATTCTATGTATGCCCATTACTAAAAACTAAAATACATAGATGTGGATAAATAAAGAACCAAATTATTCTGTATATATCACTAACTGTAAACTATCCTCTTTTTATTATAAATATATAAAGCATATAAGATGGAGCCATATAGTCTTCTTGGTCAACAGACTAAACTGGGAGCATGAAGCAAATACGTTTTTTGAAACAATGACGTTTAGGTGGTAGAACGGAGGCTTGGTGAACTGAAAGAGATTTTTAGTCGTGAATAATAAAATAATTCCGATTAACCTGGTACTACTGAAATCCATTAGGTAGTAGTATATAATTTAATTAAGTTGAATCAGCCTGACTTGATATTATGATCCTATTGTTTTAAGTTTTACAATTCCCTAGAAACATGTGCTTTGACTCAGCAAGCCCGGAGACGCGTACTCAGCATAGCTGACACTCAACTTCAAGGATACAGTGGTGAAGATGGCACAAAGACTAACATCTTAATTTTTCGTTTATGAGGTTTAGGTTTTCGAGATTACTAGTAGCCAGTATATGCAAAGACTACCTAGAGTCTGGCGAAACGTTATGGAGACTTTCATTTTGCTTTGAGGTATATGATAAAGAGATATTTAGGTCGATTTTACTCGGGGATGCCACAAATAAACAGCAAAAGAGGTGAGGATGGCATTACTTGTTCACTGACGAGGTCTTCTTCCTGAACGTGGATTCAAGGCTGACAAACGTAATCCTTATAAAAGTTTTACACACGCATACAATTTTCACTATTCCTCAATCAGCCTACAGTGTTGTTCTGTTGGATCGAGTCACATGCGAAGCTGATCTCCAATTCGTCCGATAAGTAGCTTGCTCATTTAGCATACTCCCAGAATTCTTATGCCATTAAGGTTTGCCTTTATTTTACCATTTCATCTACATAATTCTCAGTTCTATAACTATCTCAGATAAAGACACACACAAACCCACACATATATGGGCGCTATGAGACTCCCCCTATGTACGACGGACGGACATTGAGCTCTTTTGGCCTGGAGGCAAATCGCGCTCTTCTCCGCTCCCTCACGTGCCCCTCCCTTTCGTTTTGTTCTCTACCCCAGTTGAAAACCCAACCCAAAACGCCAATACCTCATATATCCCCTTTTTCGGCTGCCATCCTCTCGCACATTTCCACGACTTGCCGAGTCCTTTCCTGCCTACTCAGGCACACCCATGATACATTTAAAGGATTCTGTCTCCCAATCCACTCCACACCCCTAGGATTCGGCCGTAAACCTGAGCCGAACATGGGATGTGCCGGTAGGATGCGGGCCTCGCAGGAGGAGCAATCAGCATAATTGCAATTGTGCAAACTATTCATCCATTACACCTGTCTGTAAAGCACACACACGCACACACATATACACACTCAAACCCCCATACCACTTCAGAACGTCAGGCATAAAGTTGTATGTGCCGAAGCTGGGTGCACTCTACATGTCACAGCCTTTTGAGGGGAAGACGCTGCGAAAAGGGGCCTTTTATTCTGTGCTAATCATGAGCGAATGGGCTCAGATACGTTGGCATGGCATTAAGGCTGATCAAAATTTAATGTGCATTATTGACAATGATAAGGGCCT